ACTTTGAATGATTAATGAAATTTGTGAGCCATAGTGCCGAGTTTCCCTCTCAAAGTCTCCTTGAGTTCATCTTCAAAAGCCTTAGGAATTCACCTAGAATCCTTCTCTTTGAAGTGTGCTCTCCATTGATGCTTGAGCTTGGATGCTTCCCTCCTAGTTCTAGGTTGAGTTCATCCGTGAGTTCATAGCTTGCAAGTGTTCTTGAGTTGAAGAATTCATAATCCATTGAAGAAAATCCGGCCTAAGCAAATCCGTGGAGAAGAACATCTTTCACTTAAAAAAGGTGGATGGAGTTTTTGAAGGACTATGATTTTTAATTGATGTATCATCCTTGGAAGGCCAAAGAGGTGGCAGATTCTTATAATAGAAAGTTGATCCATATGTCTACATTAATGGTTAAAGAGTTGGAATTGGTGGAGAATTTTAGTGATTTGAATCTAGGTGTGGAATTGGCTCAAGACCACATTAGTTGTGGGAGGATTGCCATAGCTAAAGAGTTCTCGAAGCAAGTTTGGATGAAGCAATTGCAAGATCCAAAGTTGTTAAGGATCTTGGATTTGTTGGGCATAGAGAAAGTTGTTGGTTTTGAGTAAGGTAGTGATGGGATCTTGAGGTTTAAGGGTAGAGTTTACCTAGCTCAATGTTCTCAATTGAGGAAAGTGGTTTTGGAAGAAGGACGTCATAAGAGTCGGCTTAACATAGATCCTAGTATGACTAAGATGTATTAGAACATAAAGAGAAATTTTTGGTGGCCTAGTATGAAGAAAAAAGGTGGCAAAGTATATGACGGTCTATTTGACTTTTCAGAAGGCAAAGGTAGAGCATCAAAAATCAGGTGGCTTGCTCGAAATGATGGAGATTCTATAATGGAAATGGGATAACATCATTATGGATTTCATTGTTGGGTTACATAGGTGTGCTAGGAATAGTGATGTTATTTGGATGATTGTTGATAGGTTGACAAAATGTGATCATTTTCTTTTTATCGATAAGAATTGGTCCTTGGAGAAACCAACACAATTGTATATCGGGGAGATTGTATGGTTGCATGGAGTGTCTTCCAGTATTATCTTTAATAGGGATTTGAGGTTCACTTCTAGGTTCTAATAGAGTTTCATCAATCTATAGGAACAAGGTTGAGGTTAAGTTTCACCTATCACCTAAGACAGGTGGACAATTGGAAAGGAATATTTAGTATTATAGGACTTAGTCAAAGCTTATATACTAGATCATTTAGGTAGTTGGGAGGAAGTTATACCATTGGTGAAGTTTACTAAAATGGTAGCTTTTATGAAAATATTGGAATGAAACCTTTTGAGGCTTTGTATGTCAGGAGGTGTTGATGTCTATTATGTTGGTATCAAGAGGGTGAGTCAGTCAGGTCCTACAGGCTACTAAAAAGGTAAAGATGATTTAGGAGAAGATAAAGACTATCCATAGTATGCATAAATCCTATGCTAACATGAGGAGGAAGCCTCTGGAGTTTGATGAGGGAGAACATGTGTTTCAAAAGGTAACACCCACTATTGGAGTGGGAAGGGTGATAAGGTCCAAGAAGTTGATGTCAAGATTCATTAACCCTTAATAGATCCTTAATCGTGTAGGTCTGGTGGCTTATTAATAGGCCTTGCCACCCTTTTTGTCCAACTTATATAATGTGTTTCATGCCTCCTAGTTAAGGAAATATGTCCTTGACTTTAGTCATGTGGTGCAGATGGATGAGGTGCAAGTTAGAAAGAATCTGACTTATAACAAGAGGTCACTACTATTATTGATCATGAACTAAAGGAACTGAGGGGTAAGTCCATTAGCTTAGTGATAGTTCTTTGGGATATAGCTATTGGTGAGGTGACCTAGGAGGTTAAGGAGTAGTTCAAAGATTGATATCCATTCCTATTCTCAAGTAAGTCTATTTTTGGGTAGGAGTATATAAGGTTGCTATTAAGGATTGAGTTTCATAAGTTCAATTCTTTGGAATCTAAAGAGATAAATTATAGAGAAATGCTATGGGTTATGAGTTCTCTTCTTCTCTAAACCTTTTCTTAAGAATGTGATTCTTTTCCCAAAATCATTGATTTGGTTGTGTTTTGTTGATTCAAGTCTATAGAATCGTGAATCATAGCAATGGTGTCGTGTGAAGTTTCCTAAAGATCGAAAACCATCTTCTTTTTCCTTCTTCCTCTTCTTCTTCGATTTGGAGACTTTTTAGGTAAGGGAAGTTAAAACTAAATATTTGTTGGCTAATGTTCTGTGTTGTTAGATTGCACCTAAATTTGTGGTTATGTTGATGAATTTGGCATGGAATTTATGTTTTAGTGAGTTTAGAGTTGTTGAAGCATGTATGAGGTGGACTTAGAGGATCTTAATCAATTGTGATAGCATGCAGTTATTTGGGTTGGATTTGAGTTATACATGATGTATATATGTGGAATGTTGCAATGCATGCTTGGTTTTATTGGTTTTCAGGTGAAAGGAAACCAATTTTTGAGTCTACAATTGCATAACTCAACATTATGCCTAACGAATATCCTATTTTGTGAATTTGGTGTGGTGCTCTAGGAGGCTAGTTGTTGAAAACCCTTATTGAGTAGGTGATAACTCTTGGAGTGGATTATCAAGTCTCCTTTAATTCCTTAGTCAATGTGAGAGTAAGGTATGAAGTCAAGTCCTATTACCCTTAATTGATTATTGGAGAAGTGCATAGTATCCCGGTTTAATCCCATAGGTTACTTGGTTAATGCATGCTAAGGTCGTGGTAGGTCCACACCCAAACTATACTATACTTGACAATGGTACTAGACTTTCCTAGTTTAAGTGGCAACATACGAGAAATCATAAGATAGGGATTGGTATCCCAATTTAGTTATAGATCTAGCAAACGTGTAAGGGGTGAAAATGATTGGGTTAGTTTGGTAGGGTCAAGTCACATAAATTGGTCAAGTGTTATAGTAGATTTTTGTAAGTGAATGTGTGATGATGCATTAGTCGAAGTGAATGCATATGATGTGATGTGGTCTGATGTTGTTCATATGCTTGGTGTTTATATGGTTGAATGGCATGGTTATGGTGCAAGCTGGATCTTCTTGAATTGTTTGTTTTCAAACATGTTAAGGTGCTTTGAGTGATGTTGTTTTGTGAACCATGAGGTGTATTATTGTTGGTTTGCATGTGGAGTTGGTGATTAGTATTGTTATTTTAGCTTCTATACTTGTTATTTGATTGATTATTTTGGAATCTAGCTCACCCTTGCCTGTTTTCATGTGATTGGATTGTGATGATCATACTTGGTATGAGAGTAGAGCAGGGATAGGTATACGGAGATGTGTAGTTGGAGGTCATTTGCTAGATGGTTATGCAATTGGTTGTTTTGGTTGCTACTCTCGTGTAGCTATTTTATAGATATTGTTTGACCATCAACTTAAGATTTTATATTTTGTAGTACATATGTTGTTATATACTTATATGATTTTTTTTTGTTCATTACCAAGGAATATTCTCCATCGAATACAAGGACAACCTCCCTCATGGGTTTGACATAGACACTAAATAGGTGAACATTTCCTCCCAACTTGAGTCAGAATTTGAACCCTAACCACTTGATTAAGCGACATGAGTCCCTCGCCACTTGTGCTAACTCAAGTTGGTAGTTGTATGGTTGTTTCAATTTACATGTGTGTGTGTATGTATCTATATATGTGTGTGTGAGTGTGTGTATACACACACATGCTATAATGTACATATCCAAGTATTGCAAGGATATATTTCTAGGTATTTTTTTTGTGGTTATATTGTTGAGTTGGTGATCTCACCAAGTTAGTAATTGAGTCGTTACACTCACTAATTAAAAAAATTCATAAAAATATTCTCATTCAAAAATTTGTATTAATTTATATTTAAAAGATTATTCATCTTTTAATGTAATATTATTTTATTAATATTATTATATTGTATTAAATTATCAACAACATTAGATAATAATTATATATAGTAATAATAAATTTATGTGAATATTTTTTTAAAAAATATTTATATGCTATTTTAGTTCCAAAAATAATGTGTATATATATATTATTAATTTTAATGTATGTATTAAAGAAAATCATTATTTTAATGATTTAGTTTTGTTGTCTGAATTTAGGTCGAGGGATTTGAATTCAGCATCACCCAATTTAATAAACTTTATTTCTGGACCCCACATTATTTACCAAAAAAAGAAAAAAACAATTTTTTTAAACAAAATAATTTCAACACCTATGACGAGAATGGTAAGAAAGCAGTTTCATTATTGAAGCTCAATTCCCCGGGGCAAAGGGATTTACCAAGCGATTACCCAGGTACATGAAATTTTAATTTATATATAAAAAAAGTCACTTATTCATACACAACATTTTGTAACTATATAAATTAGTGGATAAAAGACACTCGTATACTTTTCTTTAATACATATATGTTAATATAGGAGGTAGTGGACGGTTTTTTTTTTTTTTTTTTTGTTGAAGATTCAAAGAAAAATCTTATGTATCAAAAGACTTTTATGATTTTTGTTACATATGATGGTGAGTTTTTTAAAGCTTTAAAATTATATAAAATAAAATAAAATTAATACCGACTACATAAACTACATTTAGACGGTATTAAAGAGTGAAGTGTTTTCTTCACCAATTGTTATGACAAAGGAAATATATTTGTCCAGTAAATTGCAAAAAAAAAAAAATATAATTAAGAGAGAAAATAGAAAACATAATTAATATATAATAAATAATATGGAGAGAGAGAAATAGCCTAAAATAATATTATATGAATTGTTTTACAAATAATATCATTCTAATAAGTTAAAGAATTGGTAAGTTTATACGATACATACTTGCATAGTAAATATTCTTGGTGTGCCTGAGATTTCCACCTACAATATATTCCAATAATTCTTCATATTAGTCAGGAAACACTTAATTTAATTGGAATGAAAATTTAACCAAATTAATACCCAAAAAGTTTTACACAAAAAAAAAAAGGAAGATGAAATCAAAGAAGAAAGAAATGGGTTATGTGAAAGCATATATGTATATTGTTTTTGATGAGAAAGTGTAGTTACCAGTTGTGAGTGAAGGAGCATTAGGAAAGGATCTAACAAACGCTGAGTCCATGGAAACTGAACCCACCAACAAACACAAAGCACTTCCTTTAGAAAAATAAACACACACACCTGCACAGAAGAAAACGAGAAGAGGAGGGATTTTATAGACTATATTAGACTTAAAATGATTTAATATGATTGACCAAAAATATGATACACTCAATCATATGTCTTCCTTTTGGGGGAAAATAATTAATTGCGCAATATAATAATAGACACTCCATCACACATGGGTGACCTTTGGTAGGGAAATAATAAAAAACAAGTAGCAAGGGATAGAGGAAACTGCATCGTACATATCATCAACGAAATTCTACTGAAAATTAATATTGTTTAGAAACGTGTTTCTTTCGTTAAGTATATAAATATTATAAAGTCAAACAAAAATACACGTGTATCATACGAGACCATTTTTCTGTAAAATTTTTTAGCCTTTTAAAATCCAAACAGGGATACCCTCTACCACATATATGACATTGAGTATAAATAAGAAATTCTTAAATTTAATATGAATTCATTTATAAGTAATAAGCTGAACAATATCAAATTTGGTAGAGGATACCGTATAACTAACTCTAATTAAACTTCAAAATAAAAACATAACTAAATAGTCTAACATTATGTTGAAAGGAACGACTCAACAACAAAATAACAAATCCTATCAAAGCACTCTCATACAAGGATTAAGCCTCGTCACTAGTTGTTCCGATTGTAAGTCCGTTGTCATCATTAGGGCAACTATATATGCGAGGTATTGTTTGCTTTAATTCTTGTTGGGCCGTCACAGTTTTGTCCTTAAAAAGGTGCTTCAGTGGGTTAAGGAAGAAGGATGTTTATAAACTACCCTTAGTCTTGACTCCTAACTGATTTGGGACTTTTTAGGTATATCGGAACAAGCCCCTCAGTCGATGCTAAGGGGCAAGAGTGACCTAGGCCATTCTTCTAGCACCATAGGTGCTTAGGGATGGCAATGGGGGCGGGTAATAGTAAACCCGCCCCCGCCTCGCTGAATGAAAATTGGCCCCATACCCACCCCATATCCGCGCGGGTATCCATTAAGCGGGTATCCATGAATCTCTTAAATACCCACGGATATCCATGGATATTTATAAATTTTTTAAGAAATTTTTTCTTAAAAAAATTATATTATAAATAATTTTAAGTTTATATTTAATGTCAACAAAATGTTTCTCTTCTTGGTTTCACAAAGAAAAGACTCCGAGAAGGTCACAAAGACTTCACAATATCAGTTTTTCTCTCTTTTGTTTTCAATTCATCTCACTTCTTAAAATTTCAAAGTGTGAAAGCTATTTATAAAGTTTTCAGATCCAGATAATCGATTATTTTAAAGGATAATCGATTATTTTGCTCTTCATGATTTCTGGAAACCACTTAAGAATAGAATAATCGATTATTTTGCAGGATTATCGATTATTCTAGAGAGTATTTCCTAGAATAATCGATTATTTCACAGATAATCGATTATTACAACAAGGCTCTTTTCACCTGTTGTTGGAATAATCAATTACACTTAATGATAATTGATTATTTTGAGTTAGCTTTCAAAAACTCAATTTTATACTTCAAAAATCTTTCCAAGTATTTTAAATCATCATCACACTCACTCTCAGTCAATTTAGATTAAGATTAACTCATGCACAAAGCATACACATTCAAAATAAACTAATCAAAGCAATACAACACATAAGAACTCATGAGCTACTCCTATTACACATCATGATATTCAAATCTTTCTTTCTTAACTGGTTTGTGTCCTTGGTCAGCTTCAACTCCTTTGTTATCATCAAAACTCTCAGACTCCAGGGTTAAGTTGATTCACTACCCCATGAATCTCAACAATCTCCCCCTTTTTTATGATGACAAACCAATATGTTTTGCAAACCAGCATTCCACATTGTTAGATATCAGTAGCTTATTATGCCTTGTTTAATATTTAGACCTGTAAAATAACTCAAACCTTTCTCCCCCTTTGGACAACATACAAAACATACAAGTATATATATATGTCCAGATATAGGGAATTAATTTTTGCAGATTGCACATGTATAGATATGTGCACAAGAGTTACTTTCTCAAAAATACCAACAATACCACAAGAATAAATTGAATACAAGAAATCAGTCAAGCATCTTTTTCATAGGCATTGTTCCAATATATCCAAAATTAATACCAGATTTTATATCAGAGAATTTGATACAACATCAACACATATGTATTTCAAACACAATACATCAACCACATTCTCATAAGTATAATCTCTAATGCACCAGCAAACATTAACAAATGTCCATCAATTCAATCAAAAATGCATACCAATGCTCAAATCAAAATATGGCAATATCAAAATTCAAATCAATGTAACCGTGATGAATTCATACCAAACACAATATAAAAACATCACCAAATTTAAATTGCTCCAGAAAATAAAATTGTTCAAACCAAAGTAACCAAAATAACCAAATTGTTCAGACCTTAAAACTATTACAACCCAATTGAAATTTTGAACTAGAAATTTAAAACTAAGATTTGAACTAGAACTCTTAAAAATAGAATATTAAAACTCCTAAACGCATCACTCTGAATCATCTTGCATTCCAAGTTGAGCCTTAATCCTCGCAATCTCATGATCAAGGTTATCAAACTAATCAAGAATGCCAGAATAATATGATTCATGCTTCCTTGTCATTCCCATGACAGCATCTAGCTTATTTATCATAATTTGTTCAAATGGAGAAAATTCCTTAGGCTCCAATTGTTGCTCTTGTTCTGGTTCAGGCTCCACTTGAGGTGGAAGTTCCTCATCATGAGATGGAACTCCATCTTCATCCGTTGTCGGTTCTGGTGTTGGAGGAACATCACCCTTGAAAACCCATTTATCTTCTTGTTTCAGCATCCCCATATGATGCAAAGAAGATTTTTCAATCTTGTTTGAGGCATGGAGAATTATCTTTTTCTCCCCCTGAAGATCTACTCCTGCCTTCTCAAATATTCTTGACAAGAATAAAGCATAGGGTATAGGACCATCCTCCTTTCTCCTAGCCTTCCAGATACAATCATTCACAACAGATACCCAGTCTATCTTTTCCTTTTTCTTAATTACATGCATTAACAAAATATCATCTCTAGACATCTGAGCATGATTATGAAGCCTAGGTTTAAGCATCCATGCAATTATAAAAGAAATCAACCTAGAGTTTTTCTTCATACCTCCAACCAAAAATTTGTTGTAATTTGTGGTCTTTGGGTTTCTTTGACAATCCCTAAAGGTTGTCATCTCTTCAAGTCACCAAAATTGAAAGGTTGGGGCTTCATACTTCCTGTTCCACTCAGCTCAGCCATTTCTTTCAAAGTTGGTCCATCAAGCTTTATGAGCTTTCCTTTCACCATTGATTGCATTATTCCTTCGTTGCTTGAGGCGAAGCACAAAAATAGTCTAATAAGTTATGGGTAATATGGACCTTCCAACTCTAAGAACTTCCCAAGCTCTTGATGCTCCAAGAGAGGAGGAAAACTGAAACCCTCACTCTTGAACAACTCCAACTTCAACGTCTTTGGAGGAATGATTTTCCTACTTGTATACCACTCAAAGTAGTAGTCTTGGATTTCTTTGTCAGAAAACCATTTGGAGATTAGTTGCTCAGCTCCTATGGGTAGAGGTCTTTTGCTCCCCCGAACTACAAGCTTATTGGTTCTCTTGGAAGATGAGGCCATTTTGTGATTAAAGACGGGTTCTTGGTTTAGAGAAGAGAAGAAGATGAAGATGAATGCTTAGGGTTAGGGTTTGTGTGTTTATCTCGAGAGAATGAATGGGTTTTGTAGAAAATAAGAGGGTTAAGTGATTTTAAAACCCTAGACACAGATTGGGTAGAAAAGAGGTGCCACTTATGAAGGAAAGTGGGAGGTTGGAAGTTGGCGCTGTAGACCCCTAAAATTGTCCGGGTCGGAAAT